AGGTATGTATTTAGTTTAGCTTAGTGTGAAAGCTGATTACGTGGGGCATCCAAGTATAGCAGGGTCAGTTACATTGCTTTCAAGGCAGTTAAAACTACACAGGCTGAGTATGCAGTGGGGGACAGACTGAGTTCATAGAACTTTGTTATTTTTAATTTTTTGAGACTTATTTTTTCAAGACTGTTTTTCTGTATATATCTGGCTGTCCTGAGACTCGCTCTGTAGACCAGAGCCTGCCTCCCGAGAGCTGGGATTAAAGGCATGCAATATTACAGCCATCGGGCTAAGAATGTGTTTATTTTTATATGCATGAGCCTTGCCTGAATATGTTTACCATGTGTGTGCCTGCAGTGCCCGCTGAAGCCAGTAGAGGGCGTCAAATTCCCTCTTACTAGAAATCAAACCCTGGTCCTCTGGGGAAGCAGCCAGTGCTCTTGACCACTGAGCCAACACTCCAGTCCCCGTGAGTGCACAGTTTTAAATGTTCTCAAGGCATATTATTAACTGGGTTGCAAGGTCCAACAAAAGTTCACCTCAAGATATAATTTTTAAAAAGGCTTTTGCTGATTGGCAGTGCTGTGCAGGCTTTTAATCCCACGTGGGGAAGCAGAGGGGAGGTGGATCTCTGAGTTCAAGGCCACCTAGGTCATCTCTGGCCCTCGCTCTGTGCCGCTGAGTGTGCCGCTTTTCTCAGCCTCGGTTTCCCCCAGCTGGAAGCCCCGCAGGTGTCAGAAAAGCCAAGCCTTAGTGTTTCACTCTGTAGACCAGGCTGACCTCAGACTCACAGAGATACACCTGCCTCCCAAGTGCTGGGATTAAAGGCGTGCGCCACCATCCCAGCTGTATTTTCATTTTATGTGTATGAGTATTTGCCTGAAGATATGTGTGAGTCTAGTGCCTTCGGAGGCCGGAAGAGGGCCTTCTATTCCTTGGAACTGAAGCAGCTGTGGATCACCTGTGAATCTCGGAATCAAGCCTGGGTCCTCTGGCGGTCCAGCCAGTGCACTTAACTGCTGAGTTGTTTTCTCATCGGTAGGCTGTGTAGTCAAGGGCATTTTGTGCACATGTTTTTCCTTTGACATTTATTTGTTGTGTATGTGTACCATGGTGCATTGTGGAGTTCACACATACAGGCATGTGGTGCAGACATACATGCAGGCCAACATCCTTACACAGGACATAGTAAAGGAGCCAGGTGTGGTGATCTCTATGTTCGAGACCAGCCTGGTCTACAGAGTGAGTTCCAGGACAGCCAGGGATACACAGAGAAACCTGTTTCAATAAATCAAAAACCAGCCGGGCGGTGGTGGTGTACACCTTTAATCCCAGCACTCTGGAGGCAGAGGCAGGGTGGATCTCTGTGGGTTCGAGGCCAGCCTGGTCTACAAGAGCTAGTTCCAGGACAGGCTCCAAAGCTATAGAGAAACCGAGAAACCCTGTCTTGAAAAAACAAAAAAACAAACAAACAAACAAAAAAAGACACCCCCCCCAACAACAGCAACAACAAAACCCCACAAAAAACAACCAACCAAACAAAAGCAAATAATAACAATGGCCACAACAACAATAAACACTTAGCTGGGGCTGGAGAGATGGCTCAGTGGTTAAGAGCACTGACTGCTCTTCCAGAAGTCCTGAGTTCAATTCCCAGCAACCAAATGGTGGCTCACAACCATCTGTAATGGCATGTGGTGCCCTCTTCTGGGGTGTAGGTGTACAGGCAGGAAGAATACTGTACATAATAAATCTTAAAAAAGGGGGGGGGGCGGAGAGATGGCTCAGAGGTTAAGAGCATCGTCTGCTCTTCCAAAGGTCCTGAGTTCAATTCCCAGCAACCACATGGTGGCTCACAACCATCTGTAATGAGGTCTGGTGCCCTCTTCTGGCCTGCAGACATACACGCAGACAGAATATTGTATACATAATAAATAAATAAAGAAATAAATATTAAAAAAAGAAAGGGACACTGTATCTAGGATATTTTCACAAGAGGCAAGCTCACCTTACAGTGGCCTGGCTCCTTCTTTAAAATAAATAAATAAACAAACACACACTTAGTTGGTGCCAATCAGAGGGGCAGATAATCCGAGGAGCCAGGGACGGCTTGAGCAGGTCTCTCTGCTTGTGATAGGCGCACTCTTTGAACTGTTACCCAGATCAGCTTCTTTGGATCCCCGGCAAAGCTCACAGCACATGGTTGTGTAGATCTTGCTGTTGGTAGATGGTGCTCACCCCAAGTGTGGTGTGACACTGACTTCTAAGGGGGATAGCATAGGGTGAACTTCATCATGGGGCCCGGAAGACACGGCCCCAGCCACTGTGAACTGTGGCACACGTGTCATGTTGATGAAGTGACTCCAGCTCATTCACAGGGAAAGCCTCAGGCCATTCCACGTGTGTGTGTGTGTGTGTGTGGTTCTACTCAGTGTACCCCTAAACCAGTAAGGTCGCTAAAAGTGGCTTCCTTTGAAACACTTCCTGTCTCAAAATGCCACAGGCAACAGTACTTTTTTTTTTTTTTTTTTTTT